AAAAAATTTTTTTTTTTTTTTTTTTTTTTTTTTTACGTTGGCACCTTTATTCGTTAACCAAGGACGGAGACTGACGGACGGATGGGTAAAGGACGGCGGCCAGACGAGAGCAACCGTGGAACGGGCGAGTGAGGTAGGGCAGTGTGGGAAGGAAGGTGCTCGGCGTCGCGACGCCTTTTGGTTTATTACGCCTGAGTTTGAAGGTTATGGTTACCGGGGGTGGGATACCCGAAGGTTGTCTGGGGCGGTCTTATCGATTTGCCCAAGCCTCATACCATCGTCCGATTTATTTTATAACACGGCAGACGACGCAGGAAAGTCTGACTCAAGGACTCGCCGTTCCATCCCCTGACCCTCCCCCCTCGCCCCTCGTCCCGCCGACAAATAGACTCGTGATCTACGACTTTGCGAATTCTCCGCTACCCGGGATTCGTGACGACTGCCGGTTGAAGGTTGGTACTTGATATGGGTATGATTTTACATAGTGCACCGAGGTAGTTACGCTTTTGATGGTTGGTGGGTAAGTAAATTTTGGTTTCTTTTTTTTTTTGGTCCATAATAATAAATTTCCAAATAATTTTTTTTTAATCTTACACGGGAAATCAAAACACGAGGGGTTTCCTTTTGCTGCGTTAAAGCAGCTGTGCTCAAAGGGTAGATTGATCTCGAAGAATGAAATTAAGGTTATGGCTGAAATTAGTTGGCTGCTTGGGTTATGACTGAGGTTGGTATAAGGACGGAAGAAAGGAAATGCGTAGGAAGGACAACAGATTGATCGAGGCGCCGACGAAATTTTCACTTGTGTTCCTTAATGATCGCCCGTTGCTCGTTACGTAAAGTTGAAGAGGGAATTAGGGGCTGGAGGGGGTGGAAGCGGGTGGAGGTAAACCCGGATCAAAATACAAGTCAAAATCGATGCTTGGGTGAAATTAAATTTTTATCTAGACTTTGAGCACGCGGCGAGGTCTTGACACTGGGATTTTAAGGGGGTTGGGAGGGGGGTGGGGGGTG